TCAAAAAGTAGAGCAGTGAACTGTTTGTACAGCCAATGTACTTCAATCTAGCTCTCATTCTGTCTTGGAATGGCAAAGGAGAATAGCGGAAGAGCTTTTGCTAATAATTTCTATACCTAAAGTCTAAATGTTGGAAATTTATGGTAGACGAGTCATGTAATTTCATTTTACTCATGAAGCTAACAGAAGCTGCTGATCTTCAGGGTGTGACAGAGAGCTCACTGTGGCCCTCAAGCTTCTACATAAAGAAGCCTGGAGTGCATGAAGGAAGTGGAGAAATGGATGGCAAATTCAGTCTTCAGTGCTTCTACCAGGAAAGTTCCAGCTACCATTTAAGATGAGAGAAGGAGCCTTGGGGAGGTGAAAGAGGAAGAGGACTGTAATCTTGCACTGGAGCACCCTGCAAAATAAATATAACTAATTTCAGGTGTATAGTCTAAAGGGCAATTTCCCTCAGTTTTGTTATTAAAAAAATATGGAGATCAAAGGGGATTTTTGATTTAAAGGAGTATTTGTTTACTGTTCTAGGTTTTCTCTGAAACCATGAAAACCCCAATGTTATTTCCAGATATCATAATATCTCCAGTTCTGCATACGAAACTTAGAGCCCTTTCCATTTCTAACCTGATACAGCATTATCTTGCGGCAAAAATGCAATACAGCAGTATTTCTTTCCCCTTCTTTTCAGAAAAAAAATATTATTTCTCATTCTGTGTTGTATTATTTTTCTTCTACTTTTTCTACTTCATCAACAATTTGTCATACTTTGCTCTTTTTGACATCTTTGTGGTGACAAGGGAAGTTTAGATTGATGGCCTCTTACACTCTTCTGGTCAGGGAAGATAAATCAAAGTAAATTGTTTTATTAGTTAATAAAACCAATCAACTTCTTGGCAAAAATGGTGCAGAGAAATGAAGGAGTTCAGGGAGCAATGGTTGGTAAATGACAGGGGAAGGCAGTTGGGTGGAATATAGTGGTGGTGGTTGATAAAAACTGAAGGTGGCTGCAGGCAGCTTGCCAGTTTGTTCAAACTGAAACTTATCTCTCAGCTCAGGAGGGAACTATCTTAGTCTGTGGGATGTGTAGGATGAATGGATGTAGATTTGGCTCTGTAACCAGAACTCATAAAATTCAAAATAGCCAAGCTATTTTACTGCATAGTTGACCATGGATCTGTTTCTGTTTAGTTAAAGAGCAGGTGATTCTTGGAGATAAAGCCATTGTTCGAGATCATAATGCCATTAAACCTGACTTTTTTTTTTTTTCTTTTTTGTTTTAAGCAGAAGAAAATTTCAGATTATGAAAAAGAAAAAAAAAAAGCATAAAATCCCTCTTCTACCTCAGGACTATGTATTACTATTAACTGATATAAATCTTACTCCTATTTTGGTCAGAATCCTGACTCAAAGATTCCTGTTTGGAGCAGTCTTGCTTATCTGTGTCAGACATCAGATCCATGGCAGAATCCTAGAGATTTCACAACAGACACTGGAAAGAGAAACCTTAGGATCTCTCATAAGTAGTGCATTCTTTTACTAGCACTGACTAGTGGTCAAAATCCCAAGGAATTTCACTGTTTAGCATTGATAGCTAATGGCCACAATCTGTGGAACATGTTAAAATTTTCTTTCTGGCCTTTATTTAGAAGTTGAAAAAATCTTCAGGGCTTGGGAGCCAGCATGGAGATATATGTTGCATGTCTGCCAGAAGAATCCAGCATCTGTTGAACTCAATCCACTCATCTTCATTCAGCTTATCATGTGGATTCATAAGGACTTCTGTGTTGTGTATGTATTTGTACTGTTGAATTGTTTGTGCTCTATTTCCAAAAAAATCTTCAGTGGTTTGTAGATCTCATTGAACAGATATAAAGACTACTTCTACTCCATCATAGGGCTTGTCTTGCCCCTTCCTCCACCTTGACTTCTACACTTGAAGCTCTCTGCCTCTGCTCTGTCCTTTAGGCTCAGACTTACTGGTTGCTCATTATGTCTCTCTTGAATATCTTCACTTGTTCTTTGCCAAATTACTAGCTCTCCTGAATCTTGCTTTTAAAAATAATTTTCATTTTTAGGGAAGCACATGTATTTGGTGATTTTAAGTGAAAGGATAAGAAAAAAAAGCTTATCCAGACAGATGTTCACTCTTGGTAGCTAAGAGTACTCATGTGAAAGTGATGCTTAAAAACTGTTCTTTAAATAGAAATATCTTCAAATTTTCAAGTAGAGCTTTTGATGAGTTTCTGCACAGCCTGGGCATACGCAGTTTGGAGACAGTGAACTGAGGTTTGATTAAATTCCATGTGCACATTTCAAGCTCTGGAATAGTGCTGACATCTGCTGTTTATTCTTACACATACATTAAAAGTAGAATAGAGAATTACTGTCTCTGTGGTTTTTGCTGTCTCATTGCTGTGCAAAAATTACAAGTCATTTTATTTCCCACAAACTAACACTAAGTGAAGTCACAAGATGCAATAAAACTTGCTCAATAAATGTATGAGATTTTGAAACAAGGAGCTGACAGCAAAGGGGAACATGAATATTAATCTTTTTAATGACTATCAATGTTTTAGGTAGAAAAGGACTTGACACAAGTGGGCTGAGGAATAAAGTTCCTTATGCACAGGGGAAATACCTGGTCTGAAAGCTTTTTTGTGCAGAGATGACTTTTCAGTTATCCATTTCCACAGGAAATGGAGCTCCACAGGAGCTCTTAAAACGCTTGAGTCCTTGCACTTTTTCTTCTCAACTGCCTTCATCCCAGGCTTCAATGTAGGCTCAGCTACATTGGACCAAGAGTCTCACTTGTGAGAGGGGCCAGCAATGTGTGCATCATTTGAGGTCCCGCAGGCAGGTGTCACCAGTGAACACCCCAGGAACTGCAAAGAAAGAGCTGGAGTGAGACACTCCCGTGTTTCACACAGGTTATAAAAGGGCTACAAAGGTCCACTTTGTCACTGCTGGGGCTGGGCTGGACTTGACTTGTGACATGCAATGTGCTCGGCATGTCAACAGTGCCTCGACCCTTCTTGCTCTTGGCAGACATCCTCCCTTCTAACCTCACCCCTGACAATTCTTCAGAACAGAACAGTATTAGACTACAATTTTTTTTTTTGTTGTTGTGACCAGGTTGCTATTATGACAGTCAGCAGCCACAAGAATAAGAAAAGGAGGGGCTGTGGGAATCTCAGGTTTATCCTGTTAGTGTGGCACACAAAAACACTTTATGTTTCCATTCTCAAATGAAAGTAAATTCCTTATTTAAACTAATTGGTCACATGCACGGCAATTATAAATTGCATTTCCTTTAAAAACTATTGTAATTAATCACACAGATATTACCAGTTTTAGAATCTGCTCACTATGTCAAGTATAATGAGTCAGAGAGGAGCAAAATTTTTAGTTTGGTTTTAAAAGGAGAAAGCCTTTAAAATAGTATTTGAGCGCTTTTTGTCTGCATTGTGATATTGCATTCCATTATATTTTCTCTTTTCACAACTTTTCACCGTAGCTGTCAAGTCTGTAAGAATTTTTTTCTTTCTTTTTTTTTGTAAAAAACTTCATTTCCATTCATGTGAATCCAGAAGCTGGGCTTTTAAGATACTTGCAATTAAATTGGAAGAACTGGCAAAACTGCTGCAACCTTCCTGGGGGACAATGATAGTGTTTTAATGATGTCACTGCTAAGGGTCAGGTTTCTGGAGCCTTTGGCTTTGATTCTGCAATGACTTCCAATGAATCTGCTGGAACTGATAGGGTTCCCTTATGAGGAAGGTGACAGAGGGTTATATCACTGAGAAAAACTTAGGTCATAATTACAAAAGAAAACCAAAATATTAATCTCAGAAAAAAAAAGAAAGCTGTGAGTTTGAATATTCTTTGCATTACAATAGAGGCATTTGTATGCCATTTCTTAAGAGAGCATAAACATGTACAATAGTGTGATAAAAAGACAATAATATACTTGGCAGAGAAAATATTTAACTTTTTTTGCATATGAATAAAGATAACATGTACTGTCAGTCTCAAACTTGTTATTCTTATGTAAAAATAGTAATGAATGAAATTTAGAAAACTTTAAAATCCTATGAGAAATGACTTCAGTAATGGAAATTTGAAATAAATAGATGACATATGACAGCTTTTCAGCTAGAAAAGTTCTGGATCTTGCAGTTATAATCTCAGTGAGTATAGGTAGCTACTGACCTAAGGGGCTGTTGGCATTTTGGGTCTTCTGTGCTAGAGAATCTTTGCTATATGAAAGACCAGTGATTTTATTTCCCCAGATCCTTTCAGTTAATCTTCCCCTGATGCATTCCCAAACTTTTGTCTCACTAACCACTCAGAAAATCCATCTATTCAGCCACTGGAATTTTTGATAAACTAATCTTTGGCTGAATTAATAGTTCTCCACAAGGTGATTTGGTGTGACTACATTATTTTGACATGGCCATGAGGGCTGGTACTTTTGTTATGACTCTCATTCCCGAAATGGGACTTGACTTTTGTGGTCAATTTGAGAATTTGGTGGGGGAGCTGGAGAAGATGAAGGCTGTAACAGTGACAGAGACAGTCAGTGACATTAACCTGCTCTGATGCCTCTGCATAATTGAAAAGAAGCAAGAGACAGGGAAAATACAGCTGAGGTTTCAGTAGTGTGATTAGCTGACCATAGTCTGAGATGTTCATGTCAATAAATTGTAAACTGATAAAAAGATCATTTTCATGACTTTAAAAAAGATACATTGTTTTAGTTTATTTCATAAACTCCTATTGGCCTGACAGGATGTGATTAGATCTGTCTGATGTCCACCTGTAAGTATTTGTAAAAAATCTAGCCTGCATAAATTATTTCTTTAAGATGGAGCCTCACAAGGATCTCTTATAATTTTGTTCCTGATGCTTTAGAGTGCTCAAGGACATTTTCCTTGTGGGAATCCTCATGAGTTACAGCATCTCCACAGGAGCAAGGATTAATCTTAGCTCTTCTTCCACAGGTTCCAGTACATTGTCTGTCACATAATTCATCAGAGGCAGCACCATTACCTGGCTATTACAGGTATCTGGTCTTTCTCTTCTCCTTTGTCTCTCACTTTAACTGACAAAGCCTCACATCCAATCTCCTCTTCTTGCCATTGCCTAGATCTTGGAGATGATTCTTATTAATCACTAACGAGGGGTTGTTGCAAGGAAAACCCTACACAGACAAAACTGCAGTGAGGCAGGCAACAATCTGTTTTCCAGTTCTGTTGCTTTTGGACAAGAAATGATGAGCAAATACTACAGCAGGAAAGGTTCACTGTAGATATTAGGAGCAAAAAAAAACACTTTTAATAGTGAGGAGAGTGAAGTGATGGAACAGATTGCCTCGGGAGATCATGTTGTCTACAGGTGGTTTTGCAACTGAGACAAGCAGTGTCAGGAGTGAGGCAGAGAGTGCTGATCCTGCCTGAGGGCAGAGGGATGGAGCTTGTGACTTTCCAGGTCCCTTCTACCCAGAAATTACTTTGACACGCAAAGTTTGGTTTTAACTAGGTGAGCAGCTATTGCTTCCGCTTGAACTTTGATGCTTTTGTGTTACCAAGACTGGGCCTTGGACTCATGAATACTCAGGTGAAAGTAAACTAACACCCCTTCTCCTTTGCTCTCTCAGCTGGTATAGCAGGCAGCAGCAGATTGTAAATGGAAACTAGTGCACTGTATTTAACATCTATTCCCTCTGCATGCAACAACCTTTTAACATCTTCCAACAACATAAAAACAAGAAGAACTGTATTATAACTTAATGTCGGATAAATCAATAGAAAAGTAGCCTGCAGTATATATAAACATAGTACTTTGCAAAATCTTTCTTTTGCTCCTGTAAACTCTCTTAGATGCTGTTTCTGCAGTTCCTGCTACAAGGTTGCTCTGAGGTTTGAGTGCACTGCTGTGACAAGTCAGAGTGGAAAGAAATGTCTACAGAATTTATACCTCTACTCTATCCTACTATAATAAGACATCTTCTAAGAGCAGGAAGAGCCTGTCCCTTTCTTTTTGTGTTTGCTCTTTTAGGTGGTGGCTTTTAGCATGTATATCAAACTGAGCAAACAAAAATCACACACAGTAATCGTGGACTACATATGATAGTTTCTTCCTGCTCTTTCAGGTTTGAACATTAACTGCATACAGCCAAGAAATGGTATGAATATACAGGCAGGAAAAAAAATACTCTTTTGCTATGCAAGATAGTTAAGCCCTACAGTCATTGCAATTTCAAAGGACCTCCTATAATGCTGCATCAATGCAAGTGACTGAATACATCCAGGGTGGAAGAGGGTTTGGTATGTATCATTTGGCAATAGTATATAATGGGTATAATATTTGTAACAGCTGTTAGGTACTCTGAAGCTACACTACATTTATGGAATTTTCCATTGAGCTCTAAATATTCAGGTCACATACACAGTTAAATTTCCAGCAGTGGCAGTACAGATAAAAGCACTCCAACCGTATGCCATAATTGTGCTCTATTTAGAGAGTGCAGCAACTCAGGCATTTTCACAGCAGTCATCTTAGATACGGTATACATTCTGCTTTATAAATGCCAATTCATTAGCACATGTAACACGTAGCATGCTGCTTTTAAGAAAAAAAGAGGGAGAATGTTGTGTTTCAGTGAGGAGCAAACATACTGAAGTAACCTATTACTTAGAAGATGGAAAAATGCCAAGAAAAATGCCAAATTCAGTTTCACTCTATATGCAAAGATTTTTTGTGGAATATTAAAGGCCATTTTGTAAGAGGTTTCAAATAAAGCATTTTAATTAGAGTATCAAAAAAATGTAAAAAGACTTGATAGACTGGAAATTACCTCTTTAAGTTATTAAATTGCCATATATTAAATATGCAATATGAAATCTGTTACCTACGGATAAGATATGGTTTTATAATACAGTGAACTAGTCTTTATTATTATTATTATTATTATTATTATTATTATTATTATTATTATTGGTAGTGGTGCTAATCTAGCACCACTAGGCTAGTTCCAGGCTGAAAGAAAACAATATTGCTTCATGGCTTCATACTAAGTTTTTTTTTTTTTTTTTTTTTTTTTTGCATTCAGTGACTGCTAAGCCAGCAAGTCATGCCAAAAATGGATACTACAAATAAAAGCAAAATCATTATATCACTGCAATAAATTCAAATAAAACCTGTAGAAAACACTAGCTTGAATTAGACAAGAAAGAATGTTCACATGTTGTATGATCAGGTTTGAGACAACCAGCACAGCTAAGTGAGATCAGGTATTCATGAAAAGTAGGTCAGTTCAGACAATCAGATCAAGTTCCTGGTCTTGCTGGGCTTATGAATAAAATATTTTTTTACCTTTTTCTACAAATGAAATTGCTCTGTCTTGAACAGCATATATATAAATCATTTTTAAGACTGATGACTGTAAAAACTGTCCATGACCAAAATTTGGATTATTAAACTCTATTTGTTAGCTGCCTTTTTTGTGACCTTTCTTTTGTAAGCTCAGGATCATATTAGAAGAAGATGACAAAAACCTCTGACCTTACATCTTAGCTTACATCCAAGCTAGAAGCCCAAAAGAAATGAGATACTTTGTGCTCTGTCCTTTGCCCTTGTCCTGCCCTTTGTCCTATAGTATGTGATAATTTTTCCCATGCAGTTTAGTTCTACTTCACCCAAGAAAACCTGAAGGAGGTCAGCACTGAGGTGAGGGGTGGGATCAAGGTCATGACCAGAACATAGCTACACCTTTGTGACCAGATGTATTTTCTGGAGCTAAGGAAAGCTAGTTGTAAAATGAGTTGATGGCTCTAGAAAGTCTGGCAATGAAGCTTTACAATAGCCCCACTGGCCATATTTTCACATTCTCACAGGATTTTACAGCCCCTTTATCAGAGTTGGCAAAAGGGAACACCAAATTTGCACCCACCTCTCCAGCTCATGACTAGCTTTATAGGCCTGAACCATCAGCAAAGGTATGATCAGCTCCTTGAAATGGTGCAGAACAGGCACATGTTGCCTCTGGCCAGCTTGGCTTTGGTGTCTGTCACCTGTGCCAAGAGACTGACGCTAACACCCGTGCATGCTGTAGGCTCCTGCTTTGCTTCGTGGAAGCCCAGGCCCTGAGACAGCTGTGCGTGGTGCACAAGAGCCCTTCCATGATAGATCACATAAGGGTATGGGGGATAACAGAATGAACTGAATGAGCTCAGCTGTTGGCCATGTTAGGAGATGTTTCTACTGGGCAATATCTACCTTAAAGCATTGGTCTAATTTGAGCCAAAGAAGGACAGGACACACCAAAAGGTAGAGAGTCTCCTTCACTTTGGTCTTTCTTCAAGATAACAATGTCTTGAAAAACGATTACAAGAACTTACTCCTAGTTTCATGACATAAAGATGATTATTGCAATTCTGATAAGATTTTGATTGTTAAATGTAGCATAAGTAGTATAAGTAAGTCCATGCAATGGCTTATAATATTATGTCTCTAAACAAACAACGATTCATCTGTCTCAAGGAAAATGCAGATACATTTAAATTTGCCAAGACTCATTTGTCAATGAAAATATGAAATGGGCATTAGGAACAGCAAACAGGGCTTGATCATCCATCAGACAAAGTTGGTAGCCTACCAAGGCTGCTGATTGTATGAAGGCTGCTGATTGTATCAGTGTTTTGTCTGTTTGCTTTCTTAGTTCTTTCTGGTCAATTTTATTTGCTACTATTTGTGCAATCTGTCTTGAAGTTACTACAGACCGCAAAACCAGTGGAAAAGAAGGAGCAAAAAGGCAGCCCTCACTGTACCCTTTGATTTCATTTTGCCATGGTCTTCACTCTGCTCTCTGCAGTATTAAATAAAAAAAGATTTAAAGGTGGGCAGTACAATTCTCCTCTCACTGTGTGCAGGTCACTAGATCAGTTGTTTGGCAGGGCCTAACACACAAGCCTGTGAGCTAGAAAACCTTGGAACCCTGCAGCTGAATTTCAGCACCCAATGTTAATTTAAATAAATCACCAACTTTTAAATATATGTATATTACATATATGTATATTACATTATATACATGATATGTATGTATATAAATGTAAAATATATCCATATACTTAATTTTGATACCTTTTTTTCCCAGTAAAGAAGATTAAAGAAAGGTCATCACAGAAGTACAGACAACAAATTCAACTACTAGCTCCCTCAAAGCAGCTGAAGAATTTTATGGATGTAACCTTCATGTCTTTTCAAGCCAAATCTCTCTAATCTTTCAAATCCAGTTTAATCTTGTTATCAACTCACTTGGCAGAATTAATATTGTAAAATGGGCTGTTTGCCAGGGTGCTTTACATTCAGTTTCTTTTCTGCCAATTCAATTACAAATGATTTCTTTACAAGGTGTAATCATATATAATGGAACCAATGCATTCAAAAAGACTAAAGAACTTACAGCTGATGGCTGACTATTTTACACCTCTGTAGAGGTAAGTAACCTGACAAGCACTGCTTCTCAGAAGAGGATATTAGAAGTTATATTTATTTGATAATACATTCAACTAAATCTACACAGCAGGTAGAAATTAAAATAAACTGATCTAGAACTATCAGAAATGAAAGTAGTCTCATTTTCACACTGATTTATCAAAAATGGTTGTTAAGTGGAGATGTCCCAGTTTACATTTGGGTAATGAAACATTTACTCACTTTGTTTGCCCAGCCCAGAACAAATTTGTCACAACTTCATTACTTAACACCAAAGCAAAACTAATTTCACTATTTATGGCTAAATCACTGGTATTCCCAGCAAGACTTCTGTTAGAATTACTTTATCCACATTGGGATGGTAGCAATCATGCTAGCAATATGCTAATGATCTAAACTCAGAGCAAAGCCACAAGGGTGATTTATATCTATGTATTGTCTGGGAACCTATTCATACCAATTGTACCTTACCAAACACAATGATGTGAAGAATGCTCAAATTGCTTGTGTAAAGGTAATAGGTTTTCTGTGGACTTTTCCTTCAAAATCTTGGATGTAACCATTATGAAGAATTATTTGAAAACTATCAGTAGGCATAGCCTGGTATGCAGCCATCACATGAATCTAGTTATTAGCTGAACACACATAACATTCTCAAAATCTTTTCATTAAAAGATATAGAGGTGTTTTTAATATTGTGTAAATGAGGAATTCTAGATCTGTTTACCCAAAGACTCATTCAAAATAACCTACACTGCATATGAGCCAAGACTTGGGGAACTAATTGTAAAAAGAAACAATAAATCATTGTAATGAATGAAGAAGAAAATTTAATTCGTAAAATTTACCTTGAGATTTCATCACATTTATTGCAAAAAGGTAATGTTGTTATCTCAGGGTGCTAGAGATCTTGGGTGACTTAATGTCTTGACCTTCTTGAGTTTATGTAAATTGGTTAGAGAAAAATACACACACTAGGAGACTTTCCAGCAGTTCCCAATGAGCGTATGAGGAAGCCCTCTCTCTCTCAGAAACAAACTACATTTCATCATTAGAGATAAGAAGAGCTTTTTATCTCTCTGTGAAGTTTCGTCAGGTTCTTCCTGTGCTTTGTCAATGCTTACCAGCAAAACCAAATGAGTCTGTAGTTTCCATTGGGTCAGCCTGTAGGGTAATTCAAATAAACTTTCTCTTACTTACTGATAAGTAGTCTTATAGGATGACCTTGTTCTAGAGTAGTGGCTTTGTCTTGGGATGTTAGCTAGGCATGAGGAGGAAACTCAGCCAGAACATATTTTCATCCATTTTTTTCTGGTGTTGTCCGCAAATCCTGGCATAGGCTGATGACTGTGACAGCTAAGGTAGTGGTTACCTCCCAGGAATCAACATTGCCCTTTAGTGTCAGATGTAGGACATCTGACAACATGTAGTGAGAGAGGTTTTTTTTTAAAAAAAAAAGGTTGGACAAATGGCTGTCTCAGCCACATTTTATGATGTAGCAGTCACTGAACTGAATAATGCAACTGGTACTCTCATTATGTTTTCCCCCACCCAGAGACATAAAGAATGTGAAAATCCAGAAGATTATTTAAAACTATTCCTTTGGCACTGGAATTTTAATAATAGGATTACACAGCAGTGTTAGACTCAAGTGTTTGGGGAAGAAAGACTAGCAGGTCAATCAAGCTCAGTGTTGCCCACAGAGATGGAAGTACTCAGTGAAAATAGGCACCATCCGCTCAGGAAATCCCTGTTTTGACCTTATCTCAACTATCCCATTCCTCCAAACCCCAGTCTGTCCCTCACCTCTATGCCTTTCTCCTGAAACAGTTAATCATCTACTTCAAAGTCATTCTCTGAAGCTGTTGACAATTGAAAAATCAATCATATAATTAACTACCGAAAACCTACTGTAGTCCAATTAACTCTACTGGATTCCCAGTGAAGTGCTGAATCATCTTCCAGACTTGCCTTAAGTAACTGAGCACCTTTCCATACACAGTACAGCTCTAGGCTGCATGGAGAGACTCTCAATACCAAAATGGTCGAGTGATGAACACAAAAGCATGCCAGTCTCTTGGTGTGCTTGTCTCTTTTGGTCAATCTTTAAGAAAAATTCAAATTGCTTTCTGTTATGGAAACAGAGGTTTGAGGTAGCATACAGGAAAATTTGTTGAAGTTAAGTTCTGATTGTTTTTCTTGTATGTAAATGTTTTACAAAAGGACTCTAGAAAATAAGAATATAAGAAATAATAATAAGAAAACAAAAAACAACCACAGGCTCTTCTAATCAATTCTTCATGGCTTACTTTTTATTCTAATTATTGAAATAAATTATTTAATTAGTATAACTTTTCATGAGTCTTTTATGTATGTATTTCTGTCACTTACCTCATTTTGAGTAATCACAGCATGAATAAACTCTTTTTTAGCAGAATTTCACCACTGTAATGTGCCATTAGGGAAAAAAAATCTCTCAGTATTCCTCATATTTAACAAAAACCATTTGAAATAACAATGAAAAACATATTCTGCAAATACAGAAAAGAGCAGGGCTCAGCAAGCATGAAGAAGGTCTGTCTCCAGTCTGATCTGAGTGAGACTGAGGAGTTTTCACAGATTGTACTTGAGTCAGTGCCTAGACTAAAAATTAGTTGTTCTGTTCCATAAGATTGATCTTATAAATTAGTATGTTGCTTACTCCGGGCAGATTATGCATCTTCCAAATGATTTTATTAACTAAAATAACTTAGAAATATGTTAAGTGAGACGATCTTGAATGTCCAGCACAAATCTGCCAGTAATACCTTTTTTTACAGTCTTACCTTTTCTGAAACATTCTTCTGAGTTGCCTCAAGAGTTGGTTCAAGTCTGATCAAGGTCTACCTAGCAAGCCAAAGCCAAAAGTCAATGGCAGAAGGCCCAAGCACTAAGATTAAAATTTCTGTCTCCAATCCTTTTCAGATCATTTGGATATAACCTTACTAAATGGAGTATGTAAAGCCAGTGACTTGCTAGGATGGGAATGGGGATACCCTGAAAAATGGAAAAGCTTAAATACAGTGGTGCTGCATTTATGGGAGCAGTTTAACCACTTTGCATGCTGCTGCATCTTCTGAAGTGGCTGATGGGCTACCAGGGTCTTTTTGACTTTATCAAGGGGCTAGCAGGTTAGTCTTTTGCTTGGCCACCAGCTGCCCACAACTGCCTATGAACTGACTCACAGCCCCTCTTCCACCTGGACAATTGTTATAGCTCTGCAGAATGCTTTCCAAGTGAAAATAATACAAATATGTTGCTGTGTTATATTAAAGCATAAGGAGATCAACCCAAAAGAAATTATATGGTCAGTACCAGCCTTCTCAAATTTAACACTGTAAAACACATTAGTTCTTTTTGACAGTATCATAAGAAGGAGGGAAATGTGACCAGAAATTATAACATATTACTCTTCAGTTTAAGAATGAGTTTCATTTTCATTCTAGCCCTACCTGTGGAGTTCTGTGTTAATATTATGAGTGAATACTTCATCACGTGTCTAAAGTATAATTATAACTGTGTAACTCGTTGCAGTAGGAACTCATAGAAACAAAAGCTATACATGACTTACTAATAATATTGGGCAAATTCATGTGCAAGAGGCTCATCAGTTCCTGTTAAATACCCTGATCCAAATGTAAGCTTCAGCTCAGCCAGTTCCTAAACTAGAAGTTATTGTAAAGACAGGTGTTACCTTGAAAAAATGCATTGTGTAATTTGTCTACTTTTAATAAACTTTTCTTAAACTGGGATCACATATATTGTCGAAGACAGGTACTGGACTAAATGGAGTCAGTTTTCCTCAGTATTTAAAAGAATTTAAAATATTTGACCTCCATCTCACTTGGTAACTGTACTCTTTCCAAATAGAGATTTTGTCATATAAAACATACCTGTTAGTAATGGTTGGTATGTGCTCTCAGGTGATGAAAATGAAGGGTTTGCTGAAAAGACACTTTATTCATGCTGTGCTTTCAAAGGGATTTTAGTGAAATGTCTGTGGGCACAGAGTTCAGTGAGTGTCACACCAAAGTTTGTTCATTATTGCTGCCTTTTTTTTCTCATATGTCCAGGAAAAAGACAGAGCTCACGTCTGTTGAAATCACTTCAGAAAGGGTCGCCTGAAACCTACAACTTCCTACGACTAGGAAGGAGAAAGACCTTGGTCTGGAAAAAAACTAGCTGGGGAGGAACTGTGCTGAAAATGTCCTGGAGGTCCTGGCAAACAGAAGGCTAAACTCTAGCCAACAGTGCAGGAGTTTACAAGAAAAAATGAAATTAATTTCAAGTAATAGTAGCAAATTCTTGATGCTTTAAGATTGAGCTGGTTGTGGAGGAGATATTCATACAGCTCAAGAGAAAAAAAATAAATGTAAGATAATACTAAACCTGACATCAGAGAGTTCCAAGGAGTTTTATCATATAAGAATGTAAGCAAGAGGAGAAGTCTCCAGAGATGAGATCTCTCCTGAGCCCATTTGCACATGACATCTTCATTAGCTTACCCATGGAAAGAGTGGAGAGAGTGCCTTTTACCACTCTCTCTCTGTTATGCATCTTTGATTGATGATAACAGAGTACTTATGGTTCAAGTTTCGCCTGTGGTAGTTGTACATCCAGCCAGAGAGGAAGCTCTGCTTTGCCTGTGCAGTATCTGGTCACTAAAAGGCACTACATGAGCTGTATTTCTGCTTAGCTGAGTTGCAGATTACCTATCTAACATCCAATTGATAATGAACTGTGAAGGCCATAAAAATTCATCTCTAATTAAAAGAAAACTAGTCTGTTTATTGGAAAACTGTTTTTCTGAAGCAACACAATTTTGCTCTGAGCTGCTTTCATTTCAGAGGTAGGTGTCTGCTGACAGATTGGCAGGTCCTGTGATTGGAACTGCATGCTCCTGTTGGTTTCAAGAGAAATCAGCCTTTAACCTAGCTGTGTTGCATTCTCATTTAAAAAGCAATAACAAAATATGGATTAAAGTGCGTACAGGCAAGATACATGTAATCACTCAATCTACTGGATGCTGTTAATGCAAGCTCCTTACAGGACTGTGATTTTGATATTAACTATTGTGATAATTGATTTCAGTAAGATAGGACATCCTGTGATTTAGATTTAATTTGACTGAAAAAAAATTAAAAGTGTCTTAAAAAAAGCAAAACAAATCAAAACAAAAACCCAAATAAACCTGAAAAAAAACACCAGTCTATTATTTGGGATTTTTTTACCTAAGTTCAATATTGCAAAGAGCTACCACCTCTCTTTGAAGACTGACCTTGCTAACAGTCATACTTACATCTAAACTTGAAAGCTTTGCAGTCTCTGTGGAAGTGGCACAGAGGAGGCTAAAGTTCTCCAAAGACGGGGAGAGAATTAAGTGGGTTCTTATATGTCTTAGCTGCACAGATTAATTGCTGAATTCTTGTGTAAAAAATGCGAGCAGCAATTTGTCCTCCTGAGTACTTTGAAGAGTGACATCTGCTCAGTTTTCACAGAATCACAGAATCATTAAGGTTGGAAGGGACCTCCAGAGATCATCCAGTCCAAGCCCCCTGCTCCAGCAGGGACACCCAGAGCACAGGGCACAGGGCGGCATCCAGGCGGGTTTGGAAGATCTCCAGAGAAGGAGACTCCACAGCCTCCCTGGGCAGCTTTAGAATAATAAATATAATAGTTCCAGCTTTCAAGAGAGAGTTACAAGTGCTCAGTGGAAGTATATACCTGCCTAGGTTCTGTTAGAGGTGGATAGTCAAAAGATCTATTGAAATCACAAGCTGTCCCTAATCACAGCCTGACATAACCCATTTCCAGCATGGTCTGTGTGGTGCTTCTGCTACTGGCCCTCTGCTCTCCTGTCCTGGGAGTCCTTGACCACTTTTCTCTCACAAAGTGGGGATATACAAAGGACAGGACACTCATGCCTGGCTATCTGAAGAAGCTTTATTCTTCCTCGCTGTGGTCAGTCTGTTTGGTAGGTGACTGCCCAACAGCTTTGCTGACTTCAGCTAGCTTGCTGCCTAAGAGGACACATGTTTTGCGGGGCCAAGAGAAGAGGTGCCCAGCTCTCCACACTGGCTACATCCAGGACTTCTGGGTGCACTTTCAGCAGCATCTCCAAGAAAATGCTGGGAAGCGTAATCTGCCTGCACTGGAGTCCTGCTCAGCCATTTTAGAAATTCTAGTTCTGGGAGATGAAGGCTTTCACTTGTGGGTACAGATTCTTTTTTTTTTTTTTTTTTTTTCATGGAAGTAGCTAGAAAATACTCAAGGTGGAACAACACTTCTATGTCTAAACATTAATGAACCTCACTAAGTTTTTAAATAACTTGGCAGTATTTGGTTATTAGGACTCTAGTTCTACAGGCATTCAGCAGCTGTGGTTTGCCTGTTAATATTTCTCTGCTGTCGTGCCAGTAGCAAGAGTCATTAATTTCACGCGGTGATGCACTTTTATAAAATCTCTATGAAAGCTGAATGAACTTGTAATGAGCTAATACTGCTGTACCCTTTGGTGAAGCTTTCTGGATTATCTACATCATTTAAATCTAATGTGCCTCATAGTCTAAGAACCCTTGATCATACTGTGAGATGATATAGCTGGTACAATTGCATTCCAAATGGATAAGTATTTAAGGAACAAATATGACTTTGGCACCAGATGTAACTTGGGAGAATTAGGGTTTCTGAAGGTAGACAGCTGGATACAGAATCACAGAATTGCAGAATGGTTGAGGTTGGAAGGGACTTCTAGAGATCATCTAGTCTAAACCCTGCTCAAAGCAGGAACATCTAGAGCACGGGGTACAGGGCGGCATCCAGGTGGGTTTGGAAGACCTCCAGAGAAGGAGACTCCACAGCCTCTCTGAGCAGCCTGTGCCAGGGCTCTGTCACCCTCACAGGAAAGAAGTTCTTCCTCCATTTTAAAAGTACTCTCTTTTCAATATTAAGTAGTTACAGTGCAGACCGCTATGGAAATTTAGAGTTTTTTATTTTTCAGAGCCCAAGTTCGAAGAAATATTCTTTAAGCCTACCATAAAATCTTATGCATGATAGCATAAAAAGGCAAGTTCTAGGAAGGAGCTCTCTGGAGATCATGCCTTTAGTCACTGGTATGTGAAACAAGAGGTTAATGTTATTCTTGTGTGTCTGACTGACTGTTTTACTAAGGAGAAAGGCAACATTGTAGTTATTTGTCCTTTTATTATACTAGTGAGATGCATGTATATAGCCTTCTGTACTACTGCAACTCAGCAAAGGTCACTGAGGCTGTATAATTAATGTATAAATAGCTTAGAAATTCTCTCTGTGAAAAGTGGCTGACATTCAAACAGTATAAATAAGCAATGAAATCCAAGTGATCTCCTCATTTTTATCCAATTTTACTTCTTTCGGTATATCATGACAAGATATGACACAATGTCTAGAGTATATTGAGTCTGGGTATCATGTCATATCCATAGTTTCTGTCTCATTTTACCTGACAGGCTGTAGCATCATAGAGTTGGAGGAGGCTTGAGTCTGAGCTGAAGAGCAAGCAGTTTGTCCTTTTCTCTGGGATCTCTAGCTCCTGGAGACTCTTATTCTGCTCTCTGTGCAAGCCCAATGATGAAGAGTCATTTTTTTGAGGGTCATTGTGTCTTAAGTTTACTTTGCCAAAGTAACAGTAGGAAACACAGCTCTTTGGATCCCTGCCCATTGATGTGGTCTGTGTATGCATTACTCATTTGTTTGTGCACCTGAGACTGCTAAGGTCACATCCTATATTTCTGAGCACACTTTTCTCTGTGGTGGAGTCTCCTGGGGCAGAATTTGCCTGTCTATCTGAGCGCGCAAAAAATATTGAAACAATGCAATATTCATGAGACTAAGGGTGAACTTCTTTTACCTTTTCTATACAGCAATTGTGTCAAGAGCCTATGAATTTTGTTATTTGAATTTTAGCCTGTATTGGATTAGCCAATGCAATTAAAGCACCTCGGTAGCTGAATAATGAGTTATTGCATAATGACAACATGTGATCGACAGGCAGTACTTTAGCTATATCTCAGTTAAAGTTTATAGTGATTGCAGGGTTGTAGAGAGGTGTTTTCTTACAAAAATAAAGCCACATTTAGAGTAATGTGGGCTACTGTGTTCATCTTTTATATCCATAATATTTCCATATTTGGTGGAAATATATCCATAATTGGTGAGTAAAATTAAAGAAACATAAGAAATTTTGTAATAATACAAGAGAAGAAATGATGCAATCATTTTTTGGTGAATTGTATTTTTCTAGCAAGTATGGCACAGAAACATGTATTGTGTTAAGAGACGGATCCCTTAAATCTGTTTATTATCTCAAAAGGGGATGAAAGTATCATGTATGTCTTCTAGAGAAATGTAATAGTATGAATCCACTAAACTAGTATCAATTACTTGTGGAGAGAATTTCATGGCACTGCTGAATCTGGGATCAGCAATTGCTCCACCCTTGACTCTCACAAGTACACAACTAATCAATCAAATTAAATAAAGCTTTCATTTTTCTTTTTCCTCCTTCTTTGAATGACACAGTGCCAGCCAGTGATCTGGTTCTGCAGCATTCCTTCCTTCCTTCCTTCCTTCCTTCCTTCCTTCCTTCCTTCCTTCCTTCCTTCCTTCCTT